CCTTTACATTTATTGAAGCCTCTCTCCTACTATTCCTTTACATTGTAATCTATTTTCCCCATCATTGATCAGTCAGCTATTCAGTAAGTACTTACTATAGCACCACGCTTACTTATTATAGAACCATTTTACATGTTCTCTCTAATTTTTACAAAAATATACAGGACAAATATAGGTAACATCATTTTACAAAAGAGAAAACTGGCTCAGAGAGTTTAAGATAGATTCAGTCCCATGAGATTATACTATTATTATCTGCATTTTAAAGATGAGATAACTGAGTTACAGAGATATAAAAGAACTTACCAAAGGTCACAGTTTGGAAATGGTACAGTCAGCATTTAATCACAGATCTGCTTGTCTCCAAGTTGTGCCACAATTTAGTTTCAAAACTTCTGCAGGATGCTGAACTAAAATACTCTGATAACCTAATGAGCCAAACAGAGCCGTATTATTCTCCTCCATATTCTTTGACTTCTGTATTCAGTCTGGCTCTCATTGCTGTTCCTTCCTCTCTACCCTCCTTGTAAGCTTCTGCAAGAACTACCTCACTGGTTCTCTTGCCTCAGTCTCACCTCTTCCCATTCATTGCTCACCTGCTGCCAGGGTTAACTTCCTAAAACCTAAACTTGATCATAGCACTCCTATGCTTAAAATCTGCTAGGAGCTTCCCAGTGCCTATACAGAGTAAATACCAAACTCCTTAGCACAGCATATGAGGTTCTTATAACCTGGCCCTTGATTACCTCTTTCACTAACCTCCCTTTTCCCTGCTGCTTCAGTTACACTCATATCCAGCTGGTTGCTGTTCCCCGAACATACCACTTTCATACCTCTGCCTAGAATGCTTTTCCTTAAGGCTAAATAATCGAGAATAGTTCTGCATTTTTAAAACTCAGGTCAAATGGTTTTACTCCCCCAGTGGAAATGACCACACTTTACTTTGTGTTCTACCAAATCTTGTACAAGTTTTTGTTCTGGATCAGCACTAGATTATAGATCACATATGTTTACATATCTCTCTCCTAAATTGACCATAAATACAGACATTTTACTTATTTTTGCATCCTCAGGATGTCTGGCACATAATAGGCATTTAATAACGTTTATGGAAAGAGGGGAAGGAAGGAATAAGGAAATATCTAGCATTGACTTCACCTTAATGAGAAGCATACAAGTTTTGGTAACTGTGTAGATTAAATAAGGGGTTTCTAATTTTATTCAACATACTCTTCTTTTTAGGGTCAGCACTTCAAGAGAAAATCCCATCTGTTCTGCAGGTATGTGGTTATTTCCTGATATGGTCTGCTTGCTTTAAGTGACCCTCTAACACTCTGTAATAATTTTGTCTAGAAAGATTCCTAACATGTCTCTGAGAAGAGTGGCTGGGACCACATTCCACCTCTCACATGGAATAGGACAAGGGCAGGAATATAAAGTGGTGGTTAAGAGCAAGAGCTCTTTTAGTAAGTTTGGTTCCCAGCTCTCCCACATACTTAACTCTGTGACCTTTGGCTACCTCTCCATACCTTGCTTTCCTCACTTAAAACAATGAGGATAATTATAGTACAAACTACAGTGAATTTAAAGATTCAGTGAGGTATGGGTGCCTGGGTGGCTCAGTTGGTTAGGCGACTGCCTTTGGCTCAGGTCATGATCCAGGAGTCCCAGGATCAAGTCCTGTATCAGGCTCCCTGCTCAGTGGGGAGTCTGCTTCTCCCTCTGACCCTCCCCCCTCTCATGTGCTTTCTCTCTCTCATTCTCTCTGTCTCAAATAAATAGGTAAAATCTTTAAAAAAAAAATAAAATAAAAAATAAATAAATAAAATAAAGGAAATGTTTGGCAGATAGCAGGTACTCAACAAATGGTAGGATTATTGATATTATTATTAGCATATGAATTTCACTAATTGGTATTACTCTTTGGAGAGGTAGTGTGGTAGAATGGAACACATGGGCTTTGGATTCAATCAGCCTTGGGTTTGAATTCTTGGCACCTCTTATCAAACCTATAACTGGGGAATTTTCCTAAGCCTCTGTTTTTTCCTCTATAAATTAGAGGGAATTATCTCAATTATGCTTCTATCAGAGGATTAGTGTAAAGATGAACTGAAATAGTATGTGTAAAGTGATGAGCACAAAGGATATACTCAATAAGCGATAGTAACTGCTATTTTAAATATTTGTTAATACACAGATGTACTCTGTTAATACTTATAGAACAGCTTTCAGTTGCCTGCCTCATGGGTCCCTGACTCACTACTGTCTCCACTCACCTGGGGCTCAGGTGTGTGAAGCTAGTCAGACAGTATAGATTTGGCCCCATGACTTCAGTCTTTGGTAGCTGTGCAGTCCCCCTGTTCTTGGCTCCTGAGCTCATGGCACAAGTATTTTTGTAACCCACTGCGGCAGCTGTGTCCTCATTCATTCATTCACTAGCATCACCATCCTCCTCTTCTATTTGCTGCAGGGCTATAGCCGCTCTTCATTTGCTGACTGGGAGGAGCGGGTATTTGTGGATATAGTCCCAAAATAGATTACTTTTGTTCTGATAAATAATACCGAGCATTGCAGGGAAGAGGAAGCACATTTCCCAGAGCTGAAAGGGAGCGTTCACACCACAATTTGAATGTCTTCCAGAAAGTTGTCAACCCTTAAGCCTGGCTTTTAGGTAATTAAATCCTTTGCTTTTGTAGAGACTCAGAGATCTGAGTGATTAAAGTGAGGAAAAAATCAGTGTCATCTAGATCTTTCTTCCCATTCAATTCCTCTTCTGTATGAAGTGACCCACTTAAGAATATATTCTGGGGGTGCCCGGATGGCAGAGTTGGTTAAGCATCTGACTCTTGGTTTTGGCTCAGACCCTCTCCCTATGCCCTGCCTCCCACTTGCGTGCATGCTCTATTTCAGATAAATAAATAAATCTTTTAAAAAAAAATTGGAGCAGGGGAAGGGAACAGTTTGAGCAAATTTAGGAAAAGTCTCCCAGAGAATGTGAGGTCACGAAGATTGGAAAGGATATGAGTAGATGGAAGGAAGGGCAAAATGCATAGGCAATCCTAAAAACTGCAATTAAATCAGATACTAAAAGACTTTGTAATTATGTGTGCAATATGTTTAACCTAATATTGGCCAGCATAGAAGGCGGGAAAGGCAACAAGGAGCCCCGGGAGACAGGAGTTCCAGCCTCTAACCAGCATACCTTGACCAGTACTTCTCTTCTCTGGAGTTAGAGCAGATGAGTCTAAGGTTCCTCCAGGCCCGAGATCTATCAAGCATGACAAACAGAATAGAGATGAGTGAACAGAATATAGATATTTTAAAAGATTTATTTATTTATTTTAGAGAGAGAGGAAGAGAGAGAGCAAGTGAGCGTGTGTGGGGGGAGGGGCAGAGGGACAAGGAAAGAGAGAATCTCAAGCCAACTCCCTTAGTTGTCATCTCCACCAGCTCAGACTCTACAGCTCTAGGCAGCCACTAATCTACTTTCTCTATAGATTTGCCTGTTATGGGTATTTCATATAAATGGAGTCATACAATATTTGGCTCTTGGTAACTGGTTTCTTTCACTTAGCATAGTATTTTCAAAGTTTGTCTTTGTTGTTACATTTTGTTTTTATATTTTCTTTAATATTCAACAGAGCAGTTGGCATATACTAGCCTTTTTAAAAATAAAATTTATTTTAGAATAGGTTATTTGTTTATTTATTTATTAAAAGACTTTATTTATTTATTTGTCGGAGAGACAGAGAACGCACACACACAAGCAGGGGGAGCGGCAGGCAGAGGGAGAAGCAGGCTCTCCTCGGAGCAGTGAGCCCAATGCAGGACTCGATCCTAGGACCCTGGGATCATAACCTGAGCTGAAGGAGAGGCTAACTGAGCCACCCAGGCGTCCCTAGAAGAGTTTTAGAATTACAGATAAGTTGCAAAAATAGTACAGAGAATTCCCATCTACCTCACATCTAGTTTTCCCTATTGCTATCTTACATTAGTATGGTAGACTTTTCATAATTAATGAACTGATATTGATATATTATTAATTAAAGCCCATACTTTATTCATATTTCTCTCATTTTTAAAAATCTAATGTCATTTTTCTGTTCCAGGATTCCATCCAGGATATTATATTACATTTAGTCATCATGTCTCCTTAGGCTTCTCTTGTCTGTGACAGTTTCTCAGACCTTCTTTTGTTTTTGTGTAATAGGATTTTAACAGATACATGTTGAAGGGATTTAAATTGTTACCCTTAGAGGACAGGATTTTCTCTTCATGGAGCCTTAGGACATTTAGTGTTTATTATCTAGTTGCTTTATAAAAAGACCTCTATATTAAACACTCCCATAGGAAAGCTATACCACTGATGTTTCGAGTGCAGCAGGGTGGAGTGAGTTTGAAAGAGTGGGATTGGGGGGAACTTAGGGAGGGAAGCTGCCCCTGCTACTGCCTCCTCTCATTATTACTGTTTTGTTGATATTGGTGTCATTATTATTATTGAGACAGTGCCCTGTAACAGAGGCATAGCCTTTGGAGTAAAACAGTCCCCTTAGCCACTTCTTAGCTATAATTTCTTGGAATATAAACTCTGTGGGCCTCAGTTGTCTTACCTGTAAAATTGTCTTGCAGTGTTTGAGAATTAGGAAAGAGTAAAGTCCCTTGCATGGTGCCTGTGCTTGGCAGATGCATAATTGTTAATTGGTAGTAGAAAAAAATAGATCACGTTGGAAAAGGAAAATAAGGTAAAAAACAACAACAAAAAGGCAGCATGGAAGGGGGACTTCTGTTTTTTAGCATTTTCTGTAGTGGGTGGAGTAAGAGCAAAGATGACCTTGGTTTGCCTACATATTCAGTATTAACTGAAGGATAGCTTCTTTGCTAGACAAGAGGCTTTGGGTCCTTTTCGGTTTGTGTACTTTGGGTTTCTAGCCTTTTTTTGAAGAAGTGCTTGGAAGGCTATGAATAATTAAAATTGTCCTAACGTGGCTATTTTGCTGTAGATGCTGTGTCTGAGGAACGATACCATTTTTAAGCCAGCCTTTTCTCTCTTAAGGTAAGGATATTAGTAACAGTGGTTAAATATAGCTAATATTTGCATTCTGCTAGGTAGTTCACCCAGCATTTTTCTTTCATCATCTCCACTTGCATGTCTATTAAGCATTTCAAACATTAACTCCCCGCCATCTTGCTCTTTCCCCATTCTCAGTAAATGACAACTCCATTCATCTAGTTGCCCAGGCCAAAGTCCTTGGAGTCATCCTTAACACTGTTATTTCTGTCCCTCTACATCCAATTCTTTAACGAATCCTCTCAGCTCTACTTTTGAAATATATACAGAATCAAACCATTTCTCAGCTCCAGTGTCAGGTCTCATGCTTTCTGTTTTGCTAAACTCCTTCTAATCTTTACTATCATCATTCTGCCTCCTAACTGATGCCACTGCTTTTACTTTTCTCTTCTGTCCTTCACACTAAAATCAGAGTAATTCTTTTTATTTTTTATTTTTAAAATCTCTTTTTAAAGATTTTATTTATTAACTTGAGAGCAAGAGAGAGAGAGTGTGTGAGCACGAGCAGGGGAGGGGCAGAAGGAGAGGAAGAAGCAGACTCCCCGCTGAGCAGGGAGCCCAACGCGGGGCTCAATCCCAGGACCCTGGGGTCACAACCTGAGCCAAAAGCAGACATTTAACCGACTGAGCCACCCAGGCACCCCCGGAATGATTATTTTTAAAATAATCAAGTTAAAAAAAATAATCAAATTAGTTTATGTCATTTCTCTCTCAGAACTCTCCAATGGTCTCCCATCTTACTCAACATAAAATCTATAGAAAGGAAAATAAAATAAGATGAAAATTGAGAGAGAGGCAAACCATAAGAGATGCTAACTCTAGGAAACAAACTGAAGGTTACTGGAGGGGAGGGGGGATGGGATAATTGGGTGATGAGCATTAAGGAGAGCATGTGATGTAATGAGCACTGAGTGTTATATGCAACTGATGAATCACTAAATTCTACTTCTGAAACTAATAAAAAAAATAAATAAAATCTACACTCCTTACCATATCCTACAAGGCTTTACACAATCTGTTCCCTCATCTGTGTACTACTACTTACTCAGCTTTAGTACACTGGCTCCCTTTCTAGTCCTTGAGGACTCTCCTACTCCTTTGCCCATTCTTCCCTTAGATATCCATATGGCTCAGGGTGCCTGTCTGGCTCAGTAAGTAGAGCATGCAACTCTTAATTTTGGAGTCATGAGTTCAAGGCCTGTGTTGGGTGTGGAGCCTACTTAAAATTTAGGGGCATCTGGGTGGCTCAGTCAGTTGAATGTCAGACTCTTGATTTTGGCTCAGGTCATGATC